GAGAGAATCTCATACTGTAAACAGTCAAGCTTCATATAAATCAACAGCGATACATTCTTCCACAAACTATTGATGCCCCCAGTCAACCCTCAAATTGCTATTTCAAGGTTTTGCCCATAATTCTCACTGTGAAAGTACAGCAATCCAGTTTACAACAAGAATCCAATCTTCCAGCAAACTGCAATTGAAATGCAGATTAGCCATAATCTAATTGAATGGTAGAAAGTGCTGGAGAAACTCAGCAACACCTGTAGAGAAAGAAATATAGTTAACGTTGTTCACTTTCCACTGATGCTGCCAGACCTCCTGAGTTTCTCCAGCACTTTCTGTTTTTGTTTCAGATTTCCAGCATCCGCAGTTCTTTGTTTCTGTATTGAATGGTGAAACAGGTTCCAGCTTCTGAACGGACTAATCCAGTTCCTATTCCATATCTAGGAATAATTCAACTTTGCAATTGATTTATAGAATTGCAATCCTTTTTTGAAGACTTAATGTTCATACTTCGACTTTGTGTTATGAAGCCAGAACATTGGCAATGTAATGAATGAACTGAAATGATCACCTCCTGAGTATCATTGTTTGATCTGAAGAAAGAGACATTTGGGTAAATACTTCATAACTGCACGTATTCATTTTAGTGTGGAGTGTATTTTAATCTACTGGAAAGGTACAAAATTTAGCAACAGCTAAGTAGAAGCAATGCCTTCCCTGATCTGGAAAAATCAGCACCTTTGTTGAGAAGGCACTAAATAAGGCATGACAGAAGCTTCTATTACCACAAAGAGGGAGAAAAAAGACCTGCAGCAGAATATTTGAAAATAAATGGAATTGAATACAATGTTCCAGGTGAAGAGTAAGGGATGTGGATGACATAGTGAAGTCCCTTGCCAATTCAAGGGAAAGATGGATACCAAAAGAATAGTAATGAAATGCCGTCAGTAATGGATGCCAGAGAAAAACACTGCAGACGAACAGCAAAGCGCTGAACAACTTACCCGAGGGCATTTAAAGAGCCAGAAGTTGTGAAACCTGATTTAATCACTCTAGATTGTGAGTATGAAACCAAATGTGACAGTAAAATATTACAGAAAACATGTCGACTTTGATGATTCTGAAGTCTGTTGATGATAGTGTGAACATTAAAACTCATCTTCCCCACTGGGATAGACAGACAACAGAACAATTAAATTAATAGTACAAATAACATCTCCAAACGAATTAACAGCAAATACTGTGGATGCTGAAACAAGAACAGAAATTGCTAGAGAAATTCAGCAGTTTTGGCACTATCTGTAGAGAAAGAAACAGAGTTAACAAAGAGTTTTCATGCCAGACTTGAAACATTAACTCTGCTTTCTCTCCACAGATACTGCCAGACCTGCTGAGTTTCTCCAGCAATTTCTGTTTTTATTTCTTAAAGAATTCTTTGCAACTATGACTATTGTTAGCAACACGTTTATACATAGAAATGTACACAAAATATTTTCAGAATGTCCACGTCAATAAAGCCTTTTGACCATGGATAAGATAAGATGGTCCAAAACCAGAGCAGAGAGATATTCTATCTCTGAGAGATCTGCAATTTTTGTAGTTCATTTGCACTATATTACAGAAGATATTAAGCAGGTATCTGTGTCATGGTTTACACTCAGAAAGGAAAGGATTAATGTTATTTACCTCCAGGATGTCACTCACATTAATCTGGGTCCACTTTCTATTGTGGTAACATCCAAAGGTGACATGTACATATTTATTTATTTTACATATACATTTTTGGGCCAGAAGATGTTCTGAAGTGTTAGCAACAGTTGCAGTAGCATATGCAGACTGAAATTGGGGTGGTACAGTGGTTAGTACTGCTACCTCACAGCACCAGGGGTCTGGGTTCAATTCTACCCTCAGTTTGTGTGGAGTTTGCACGTTCTTCCAGTGTCTGTGTGAGTTTCCTGAGTGCTCCCATCTCCTCCTACAGTCCAAAGCTGTGCCGGTTAGGTGAATTGGCCATGCTAAATTGCCCATAGTATCCAGGCTGTGCAGGCTAGGTGGATTAGCCATGAGAAATGTAGTGTTACAAGGACAGGGTGGGTCTGCATGGGATGGTTTTTGTAAGACTGGTGTGGACTCGACGGGTTGAACGGCCTGCTTCCACATTGTAGGGATTCTATGAAATGGAACATATGTCCCACTGGTTTCTGATTTGACGTGGTTAACATTTTGGATCTTAAGTTGACTATTGCTTCAATGTTCCCTTTCCAATCCAATACTTACACTCAAGCAAAATCACCAACTCCATCAAACTCTGTTGTGCCACCCAGAACAATTTGAGGAATGAACCTCAGATTGTGTCAGAAGGTTGTCCTTATCCAATAACTATCATGCAATTAAATGTAAATGTGGAAATGGACTTAAGGCTATCAACAACAGGGACAGAAGAATGCAGCAATATTAGCATTTTCTCTTAAATTATAAGGCAAACATGACAAATAATAAACAATTTGAAAAGAATTAACAATTTTGCAACAACTTGGGGGCTTGTTCTGCCTTCCGTTATTCCACCTGCACACTTTGCTGTTGGATGTTGGAGCAGTGACGAGACTGATGGAAGTCAGCACAAATAAAGAGGTATGTGCTCTATGTTTAATGTGAAATGCAATCAGGTTATACAAATCTAAATTTGCACCATTGTGAATACCAAGCTGAAAATGATTCCCTAAATTTGACAGAATTAAATTTAGCAATAGTGTCCCATCCATCAACCTCGTCACAGCCTGCTGTACTGAAATGATTGAACAGCATGCTAAAAGATATGTTTCCAGTGTAATTTATTATGACATGGCATTAAATGTTGCTATTGTATTGAGTCTGTAGAGGGTAGAAATAAACCATTTCACAATACTGTCACCTTTCATATATAATTTCACCAAACCATTATATTTACATAATATCAATTTTTAAATTAACCCGTATAATGCAAATACTTTCCATCAGGGACCGCAAATTCAATGCAGCCTCAACTGAAACCTTAACCTTTTGAGTGGCAATGTAACATTTTGACAACACATCAAGCAAGAAATTGTAAAATCTTGTAACCAGTGAAAGGACCTCATAGTCACTGTTTTGTTAGATGTAATTTTGTGGCTATAAAGCATTAAAATACAAAACAGTTGACACTTCCCTGGCTTCTGCATGTTTCTGATAAGGTTTTTTAAGCACATGAAATACTCCAATTGAACAATTTTAGGAGTTGATCAAAACGCACCAAAATAAGCAAATTCAGAAGAATTTTCTATCCACAAATATCACTCCACAACACCTCACCTCAAAGAACAAATCATTAGCATGAACAATGCCAACCTGATGCAATAACTTGAATTATTGAATACTGGGCATAGTAAAATGTTGTATTTCACATGAATTGATAAACATTTCTCTGCACTGTGGTTTGGTTGGTGTCAAAAATCACATGACACCAGGTTATAAGACACTTCAAATAAACCTGTTGGACTATAACCTGATGTTGTGTGATTTTTGACCTTGTCTACTTCAGTCCAACACTGGCACTTCTACATCATGGTTTGGCTGAACAAAGATTAATGCCCCATTTGGATTTTTCAACATATAGCTGGTAGGTTGGTTATTCAGGTTAGACCAATAGGAACATGAGGAGTAAGAGTAGGAAGAAGCAGTACTGCTCCTCAAACCTGCTCTGCCATTTAATAAAATCAGGGCTAAAATCAGATCTTGGCTTCAATTCCGTTCCTGTTTGTGCCCCATTAACACCCATATACTTCAAGAATCTGCTTATCTCAGCCATGAATGCATTCAATGACCCAGCCCCATTGGAGAAGAGAATTCCAAACATTCGTGACTTTCTCAGAATAAATTCCTCCACAGCTCCATCTTAAATAATAGATCTCAGTTGAAATGAATACAGGAACACCGACCTATCTCTTGCTGTAGGTCTCTAGTCAAGTTAATATTGTTCATTGATGACTTCTTCTCAATGATCAAACAACCACAATAGATTTACGTCAAATCCTTTCACAATTTCTTTTGAAACAAGGTCACTAAGTGACTGCAAAGAAAGGTTTGGAGAATATTTTCCTTGTACAATGTTGTAGGAGTAGGGAATCTCTTGCCACAGGCAATTGCTGAGGCAACCGAGGCTTGAGGGGAAAGGTGCCTCAAATTTGGAAACTGGGGAATACACATTACTTTGGAGAGAGAAAACTGCAGTGGGGTTAGTTTTAAGATTGCTCTAGAGAAGAGCAAGTCTTTAAAAAGTTGACCTGAATGGTCTCCTTCTGTACTTGAAACCTGTGTATACTGCTGGAAGAGGGAAAGTATCACTAGCCTAATGAAAAATAAAGCTAGTTTCACAAGGTTTTATATTCCAAACAAAAAAAAAGATTATTGATAGTGGAGGCTTCTACCTGAGATCTCATGGATCTGGAATTTCTTGAGGGGTATTCTGATCTCCTTCTATAAAAGAATATTGTTGTAAATCATAAAATCATAAATTGTCTTCTACTGTATTTCTCCAGGATTTTCTGCAACCTTTTACCAAAGTTATCATGGGAGAGCAGGTGAAGTCCAACTTTATTATATTAATTTGCATTAACATCTGCAAATTTTACCATGTTAATTAAATTTTGATTTTCTTTTGGTGTTAACTTTGACATTCACAGTTTAAACTTAATTACTGAATATAATTTTTGGGGTCTTCCTTTTGGGAGGGATGCACAATAACCTGTTGGTGTGCGATCTAGAGAGTACACTTGTTTCAAAAGAAGTTTCAACTAACAATGTGAAGTTATTCTTTTGCACACCAAGATAAATGACAGGGGAACAGTCGAGTGCTTTGCCCAAGTCATATTGACATGTAGATAGAGGAGAGATCCCTTCCTTCACCTAGCTGAATAAATCTACTGAGAATCCATGTGGATGCAAAAGGGAAGCCAAAGATAACAAAGACAGAGAGAGAATAGTTTTAAACTTACAGGAGGAATGACTGCTCGGAAAACTCTTTCTGCCCTCTGACACTATATCCGGATCACCTGTGCAGTGCATCTCAGGGTTCATCACACCATCCGGAAAGCAGCGGTTAAAGAAATCGGGACGTGGTCTGAAAGAAAATATATCATGAAGATTTAGGTACAATAGCTTAATGCTTTTGTAAAATAGAAAGCAACTGTAAAGACTAAAAGATACAACACAGTGTGGAGCTGGAGGAACACAACAGGCCAGGCAGCAACAGAGGAGCAGGAGAGTTGATGTTTTGGGTTGGGACTAATACTTTGATAGCTAAGTAATTATCTCAGATCTGCTCAAAATAATTAACAATTTGCCCTAAAACAAAACAAATCACTTAAAAGAGACGTATAAAGGAATGCATTTACTCAAGTGAGACCATTAAACAGATTTCTACTTATTTTCACTAAGAACGCAGATGTCAGAGGTTACAGAGTGATTGGGGACTTGTTTTCCTGTTTATCCTGTTTCTACTGAGCTTTTCATACGTTGGAAATCTACTAGATGGTGACTAAAGAAGAAAAGCCTTTACTGTGGCCGTTATTTTCTGTGCAATGTTTTGGGTTGTGAACTAACTCATGCAGTGGCATCACACAATCTAACACGTACAGCTTTCAGAAACTAGAGTTATAAACAGGTACAGGATACAAATTTCACACATGTTCATTCTTCTGAAAAGAAAATTGGCCTGGCTCTTTGGTTGGTCAGAAAGTTGTTCATCCAGCATGGGGATCCTGTGTGTTCCCTATTGTGGCAGAGTTTGAAGGAATTGCCTAGGAAATGGAATATTCCACTGGATAATTCCTCTACACCTAGAACTCTTCAAATGTCTCCATTTAAATCGGAGAGATTGAATGACTCAGCCATTTCAGAGGCTATTTAAGAGTCAACCACATTGCTGTGGATTTACAGTCATGTAGTTTAATCCAGGTAAGGATAGTTGATGTCCTTCCTTAGGTATATCAGTGAATTAGATGAGTTTTTACAAACAATGGTTGGTATTCAAGGTCAGATTTATTAATTATACTTAAATTCCACTAATTTCCACATTGTAGGTCTTGAGCCCTTGTCATCAGATCATTAGTGTGGATCTCTAGCTTACTAGTCCAATGACATGACTGCTATGTCAACCTCTCCCCATACCTAAATCTTTCAAAGTGCTGGAAATATTAACACAGACACAAAGGACTGCATAGCCTCCCAAGGTGCTGTAATTTTTTCCATGTTTCAAAGTAATACCTGAAAGAAACCTAAATGTGAAGCAGCAAAACAATTTTAAAGCCACTTAGATGAGATGGAAAATTAAACTCAGTGACTCTGAATCTGATGAATAAACTGAATCAGTGCTGTTGGCAGTATCTGTTATTGTTGATTTACCTTTTAGTATTAAAGATTCAAGTAATAGGTCCAGGTCCTGAAGACTGAAGCTAATGGGAAATCATAGACTTTTAAACTAGCCTCTAAATATTGTGGGAAGTTGTTTAGAGGAATGCAATAAGCTTGTGACAAGATTGGTCACTCAGATTAATGTGATCATTGACTATTGATTGCAGAACCTCGTCTACATTCAGCAATGTGCAAAGAATACAAAAGTGACCATAAATTGTAGATTTTCTCTCATGTGTCAAGCTGTGTTTAAATGTATAAACTAGCAGTGCTACTTTAGAAAATAATTCAACAAATCATGCCCGTAAAACATCCTATATTAGTGTAGGCATCTGGAAATCCTCTCACATACATAGGATTTTAAATAACTAACTGGTTGACAAGGCTATTCAAGTGCTGTGTAATAGAGAAGAGATGTATTGGATCATTAATTCCTTGCAGCGCTGTACTGATGAAAACAGTTACAAATAATGTTCATAGTTTGTTCTTGTCATTTATATTGCTAACAACACATTTTGAAAGGATGTGCCAAGAGAAACATTGCTTTTTGATATTTTGCCATTATCTAATATTTAGCTCACTATGGTCTTAAAAACTGGCAGGGCGTCTGCTGGTCTCCCAGGAATCCAGAAAAAAAGGCAAGAAATTAGTTTCACTAAACATGGGGTTGCTGGGTCTGACTAAAATGTTGCCGCCCTGGATTTTGTTGTTGCTTCGGGCAGGTCACCATCTGTAGCTGGTGCATTGCTAATCCCATGCAAAGACAGTTCCCTCTGAATAACCATGCAAACTCCAGTGAGGTAATTGCTAAACAAAGGGAGAAAAGGGAGATCTTTTCTTCACTAGATAGCAATGAAGTGCAGACCCTCTTGAGCCCATATAATGTCTGTGAGGTCTTTTTAATCCTGAAGTCTCCCCAGTTTGAAGATGCAAGGGGTTTATTTTTATTTAACCACTCCTTTATAACAGACTGGGGCTTCTTTTAACAGATTATAAGGCGAGGTGCTCCTCTCTGGGTGTTTCGGTTTTATTTATTGATGGGGGTGGGAGGGGGGGGGGCGGTGTTGGGTGTCAACCTGTGCTTTATAACAAACCCTCAGCCTCCTTTATTCTAATGAAAATGATCCTAGCATGTGCAATTTTGCCCCACAGCCGCAATTTTCAAGCCCTGATAACATGCTGTCTTCTACTTTCTATGCAGTAAATATGTCCTTCCTGCAATGTAGCAATCTGAACTGTACACAGAACACCAACTGTGGCCTGGCTAGCATCTTAGATAGTTCCAGCATTACTTGTATTCACTAGCTCAACCACAGAAAGAAAACATTCCATATGCCTTCTATTCAACCTTTTCCATCTGTCCTGCCACCTTTACGCAACCATGGACATGTATTCCAAGGTCTCTCACTTCTTTTACCCCTCTCGATATCCTCCTGTTTACTGCATTTTTTGATTAGTTTGCCCTCCTCAAACACATAACCACACACTTCTTCAGATTGAATTCCATTCACCACTTCAATGTCATTCAATGAAACCATTGATATTTTCCTGAAGCCGATAGCCATCCTGTTCACTATCAAATACATGTCGTCTGCCAATTTCCCAAGAGTTGCAACATCACCCCACGAACTAGCACACACCAGTAAAACATATAATAAACCACAAGGGTATCACTAAAAGATCTGAACGCTTCAAAGACTATCTGTGCAATATGTGCAGGGACACATGAAATTAGAACAGACTTGAAAACACAAACAGCCCTTTGTTTGTGCTAGATCATTTTCTTTATAGACTCTAGATGTGGAGTGACTTGCAAATTATATCCCGCAATGCCCTTTTCATTTTAGGGGAAGGAGTGTCTGAGTAACTATAATTTTGTACACTGCGGCTTCCCATTTACATGCGACTTCTGCTGACATCATATTAAGCAGATAAAGGGTGTAGAACTGTAGTCATTATATAGAGCAGACACTGATCAGATTCGAATTCCCAGATTCTCTATAGAATCCTAGCTAGGACATAAGTGCAAGTCCTGTTGATGGAATGGAATATTTAAAATATGGCAGACCGATCCTGCAATTTCTCATTTATACAGCACCATCTATTTAAAGAGAACAGCTGCAAGAGGGGAAAAGATTGAACTTTTAATTTTTGGAGCAGCACGGTGGCTTAGTGGTTAGCACTGTTGCCTCACAGCACCAGGGACCCGGGTTCAATTCCATGCTCGGGCGACTGTCTGTGTGGAGTTTGCACATTCTCCCCGTGTCTGTGTGGGTTTCCTCCAAGTGCTCTGGTTTCCTCTCACAGTCCAGATACATGCAGGTTGGATGGATTGGCCATGCTTAAATTGCCTATAATGTGTAGGCTAAGTGGATTAGCCTTGGGAAATGCTGGGTGGGGTGCTTTCGGAGGGTTTTGTGTGGACTCGATAGGCCAAATGGCCTGTTTCCACACTGTAGGGATTCTACGAGACAGCAGATGAAATTACACTGCTATAAATCAAAGGCATGACTGCAATTGTTGAAATAAATTGCAATAAAACTTCATAATGCAGCAACACAGGTCAAGTAGAAAGAACCATCTGTGACTGAATGGCACCTCAATAACCTCAAGAATCCCATTTCGTCAGATGAAATCTAATAATACCACAGGATCAGGAAAAAATTCAGTTGTTAGCTGAATAATAGGAAAGTTTACTGAAACACAGAGAGCCAGTTGGGTGCTTCCAGCTGTAAAATTCAAGAATTGGCTTTGGGATATCATATCTACTTTGTTCCTTGCCTCAGAATCACTGAAACCTGGAATCACTCTTGTCTTGTGATGCGTGCCAGCACCTTGAAGTCTCTTATCCAAGTTTTGTGTTTCCTTTCATCTACTATTATCATCATCCATTTCACAAATCCTAAAAGATTCTGGCTGTATGATCTGGAGATTGCAACAGCTAATTAGTACAACACATTCCTCTAGCAAAAGAGAACAGCATATAATGGAAGGGAATCGCAGGTCACTGCAGGAGAAAGTACAGAGATCTGTACATGAATTTATTATGAAGAGGATACTCTGTCAATCATTGGAACTAATTCTGGCTTGGCATTTGGGAATGGAGATGTGGGAATCAAGATGCTTCAGTTGGTTCATGATTATATGTACCTATTCTTTTCTGTTTCTATGTATTCTTCAATCACTCATCAATTGCCAGGCTCCTATAAGTGATTGAAAATGTCTCCATAAAATAGTATGCTGTTCATGCAGACTGAAGCTAGCAATAGTGACTTTTATTCTCCAGAGGCTACAATTCTGGAAATGGAAGACGTTCTAATTCCTTGTATCTCAGACAGCATTGCCACCAACACTATCATTCACCTAACCTGTTTCACTTAGAAATAGTCACTAGGGGGAAAGAGAGGGAGTTGGATTATAAATACTGTGTATTTTTTAAAAATTTGAGTTTGGTGTATTATTGTCACATATATCAAGATACAACGAAAAGTATTGTTTTGCGTGTTATCCAGGCAAATCATACCTCACATAAGTACATCAGGATAATAGAACAGAATGTAGAGTATAGTGTTACAGCTACAGAGAACGTGCAGAGAAAGATCAACTCTAATACAAGAGAGGTCTGTTCATAAGTCTGATAACAACAGGGAAGAAGCTGTTCTTGAATCTGTTGGTACATGTTTTCAGACTTTTGTATCTTTTGCCTGA